TCAAAGGCCTGGAAACGATGCCTTATGAGGAACGGCTAAGGGAGCTGGGCATGTTTAGCCTGGAGAAGCCTGGAGAAGAGGAGGTTAAGGGGTGATATGATAGCCATGTTCAAATATATAAAAGGATGTCATATAGAGGAGGGAGAAAGGTTGTTTTCTGCTGCTCCAGAGAAGCGGACACGGAGCAATGGATCCAAACTACAAGAAAGAAGATTCCACCTAAACATTAGGAAGAACTTCCTGACAGTAAGAGCTGTTCGACAGTGGAATTTGCTGCCAAGGAGTGTGGTGGAGTCTCCTTCTTTGGAGGTCTTTAAGCAGAGGCTTGACAACCATATGTCAGGAGTGCTCTGATGGATTTTCCTGCTTGGCAGGGGGTTGGACTCGATGGCCCTTGTGGTCTCTTCCAACTCTATGATTCTATGATTCTAACACTACTGGGTTTGAATACTGAATCTCAAGTAATCATCCTCAGTAATCAAGCCTACTCCAATAAACTTGACCAGTCACTTGTGCTCCCGCCATTTCTCCAATACCATCTGTTTGATCACTGAAATTAAATTCTGCCATGCTGATTTTACTGCAGGCAGCTTGTCAAAAAGCTTCTTCAGGAGTTGCCCCTGCAGTATGCATTGCTTGATCAGGAGCAAAAAGGTTCCAGGTTGACATGCTTTGACATCAAAGGGTCTCTGGTATTCAGTACATGTTCAGTATTGTCAGGTGGAGGCGAAGGAAGTCCAGCATGCATTTGTCAGCTGTCAGAGCTATGTTTGCATACACATATGATGGTCTGTTTTACTCTCTTTTCAAGAGGAGAGATATTCCTTGTAACAGAGAGGTAGTATTTTCCTGCAATAAGCATGATTTGTCAACAGGGGAGAAATAATGTGATAGCTTGCCTTGTTTAATTTGTTTGACATGATTAGTTTATTCTAACTTTCTCTTTCACAATCTTCTAATGATTATTATTATTCACTCCCCCCTTACAATCCTTTATCACCAGCTTTTCAAGATTTCTGAGCATTAATAAAGCATCTCACCTTCCTTATCCGCAAAAATGCTGTGTCTGCAATTCATGTCACAAAAACATTAAAATCAAATATCCATGGGATGTAAAAGGCAAATAGAACCGAGACAATCTTCCCCTAGTCACTTCATGAATCATTTGAAGAAGAGTTAAAACCAATTAAAACTCATTAAAACTGCTTAAAACCTACTAAAAGGCAGATAAAAACCACAGGCCTTCCAGAGACAGATGTTGCTGGCCCAGGGGTTGTGCTCCCCAGTCCCCAACCCAGATAAATAAGAGACCAGTAAAATTGGTTTGGATTAAAACAGGTCACAACTTTATTGAATACAGATGAAAGAGGTTTGGCTTGGGCACGGGGCAATCAAAATATTTCCAGCCCACCGGCCAGAAGTGATGCATAGGTCAATCCAGATGGGGGTTCCTAAGAGTTACATCAAATAGGGTGACCCCCACAGGGAGCGCCATCTGGGGGAGTGCCTTCAGTCCTGGCCCCACCTGGGCACGCAGATATAACCACACTCCCCCCAGATCCCGTTAATGGGATACACCAGTGTTTGGAGGGGCAGACGAAGGCAACGGATTGCCCCAATGCCCAACCGAGCAGACAGCTTGCCAAAAAACGCTTACATCTACATCCATGCCCTAATACATTCAATCATATCTGGCAACCAAATGTTGTTTCCTGATAAGGAAAGATGCGTGCCATCTGGCCTAAACAGGGTGTCATCTGAGAATGTGATCTTGGGGTGGTAAATCACTCAACGACCCCACTGTAGTATGCAGCACCTCACTGCGCGATTAACCTTTTGCCAAGCCCGGTTGATCCCCACTGAGTCTGGGTTCTGCTATTGTCTCTCCAGCATCTCGGACCAGCCTAGGCTTATGGAGGGGTACAAGTTGTGCAATGTCTGCAAGTCCTTGATTATAACCCATGTTAGATCAATACCCTTGTGTTGGCCCAAATCGTTTCCCCCCAAATGAATGAGCAAAGCATCCAGGAGCCCCTAGGACTCAATTCTTGCCATGACTAAGAGCATAAATTCTTGCAGGTGTGGGCTGCTTAAATGGCCAGGGGGTGGACCTGAAGGAAGCCTTTCTGCTCCATCGGCATTGCCCCCTGGCACAGCCCAAGTCCCAGCCTGCATCCTCATTCACCAAAGCAGGGTGCATGCCAGGATCCAGCTCCTGATAAGCCCCCACAACCTATCAGGAAGGGCACCGAATGCATGGTTCCCTCTTTGGGGCCCCAGTGGATTCTCTACCGTCCTGCAATGCTGCCACACCAAAAGTGGTGAATGGACTTGTGCTCCAGGCATTATCTGAGATCTCCAATACCATCCATTTGATAGTTGGAATTAAATTATGCTGTGCTGATTTTACTACAGACAGCTCGTCAAGAAATTTGAAACATTGCCCCTATTAAATTTCCAGCAGCTAGATGTCATAGACAGCCCTTTCCTAAACAAACGTAGTCAAGTACAGTAAATTCTAAATAATATTTTTTCTTGTATGACTCTTAGTCTAAGGTCCAGAGACTCCCATGTTGTAGAATTTAGCACAGGTTCTCATTGCTTGGCCAAGATTGACATCCCTAATTCATTATTCCGCTCCTCTCTTAATATTTGCCTATCAAACTGGTATGCTTATAATAAACATTTGTATAAGGTTATAGTGGTTTGTTTGTTTTTTGTTACATGTGAGTTGATCAGCTGTTTTAATAATTCTGGAACCTCTGAGGCTGTAAAAGCTGCTGGTCCATAGATGGTAGCTATGGAGTTTTATGCCAGTGTCAGTTGAGCAGGTTCTCTTTCTGTATATTTATTGGTTTACATTGGTGATGTAAAGCTTTTTTTCCCCCTCTATATGTCAGTTTTAGTTTGTCGGTTAATTTTTCTAATAAGGTCGTTTCAATTTGGTACCAGTGGTCCATGCTTACTCCAGACAAGTCTCTCCAGTGTCTAACTATGACGTTTCTGGCTGCTGAGAGTAGGTGGGTTATAACCTCTTTGTGGTGTAAGTGAACATTATTGTTTTGGAAAATAGGGCCAATTCTGGAGTGGGTTCCAAGACCTCCTTAGTTATGTTACATATTTTTTGTACGACTGCTGTCCAAAAGGGTTGGATTCGGGAACATTCCCACCACATGTGAAGGTATGTGCCTGTAGAGGTACAGCCTCTTCAGCATTTTGATAAGGTTCCTGGATGTATTAACACCAATTTCCTCAGGGTCAGATGCCATCTATAGATAAGTTTCAAAGTGAGTTCTCTTCTTTTGGCTGAGATGGATTTAAAGGGAGGTTTGGACCAAATTGTAGTCCATTGGGTAGAGTTTATTTCGTAACCTATGTCATGTTCCCATTGTTTTTTAAGTGTATCAAGTGAAATTGCGGGGTTGTGAAGTAGTATTTTGTATATTGCAGATACCACCCCCCTACCATGTCCCTCTGCTGACAAGAGAAGGCTTTGTTGTTGTTTAGGGATGTGTGCAGTTGATGGTGTGTTAGCCAGGATACTTGAATGCCTCCTAATTTATCCTGTAATTCCTGTGTTGATATGGGTTTATTGTTTTTGTAGAAGTCTGTAAGACAGTATAGGCCTTTGGTTTGCCATGTTTCTATGTGAAAGGTTTGGGCCGCGTGACTGATAATGGATAATGAGACAAGGGGATTAGTGGGGATGGGGTTGGCGGCAATGTGCCTACTTTTTGTTTCCAGGCCTTAAGCATGGGTAGTGTGAATCCCAACTCAAGCAGCTGTGATAGGTGGCCATCCAACCTCTCCCATAAGGCAGCCAGTTTGAATCTTCCCCCCTCAGTTTACCCCATTTCTCCCTTTTGTGGCACAAAGCGAGAAACTCGTGTCTGGGAGAGGGAAGGCAATCCTGCTTTCTGCCTGCCATAGCGCTCTCTCTCTCTCACTCAGTCTCTCTCTCACACACACAAAAGTGGAGATGGACCAGGACAATATTTTATTTCCTACTTTTAAGTAAATAACTGTTGATTTTTTTTTTATGGCTGTGGCTGCAGGAGGCAGAGTGGACTTAAGAAGGGCTGTGTAGAGGAGTGAGCACATGTGCTTTAAAATCACAGGCAGCAGGGCCTTCCCAGCAATTGCCTCTAGCCCCTTGCAGTGGCTGGACTGTGGAGGGGAGGGTGTGGGCAGGAGGAGTGATCAGGAGGAAGGGAGGAGGCAGCCCATTTGTGAAGGATGGAAGCTGCAGGCAGACAAGCAAGCAAGCAGGCGAGCACCTTCTCAGGCTCCTTCTGGTGATGTGTCACAAGCTCAAAATGGTCATCGGGATATGCTCTTCAAACTGGTTTCTAAAGGTTTATTGATATATTGCGCAACCCTGCCTACCCCACATACAAACTGTTCAGCCATGTCTGCCCCCTGCTCTTTCTCTAGCACCCCACTCCATCTCAGATTCTGATCCCAATTTCAGTAATCCTCAGGTTTAAGATGTAAGTCTGGGACAGTTTTCTTTAGCTGTTTAACTGCACGTGGATTGCTGAGACTCAGATTCAAAGCTGAGTTGGCTGGTTTTTGTTAGATCAGTCACTTTTTTCACCAAGCCTGGCTATATTTTTATGTTCTCTACTTTTCTTGCTCTTTGTTTATGAAGACTTGCTTTATAGGGCTCAAGTCTTGGAGCACCCTTTTATAAACATAAAAGAAGTGCCACTGTTTTAATACAGGTGATTTATAGACATTACTCTTTGATTCTGCCGCTACTAATGCAAGTTCCCACAAAAAGGGGATTCTGGGAGTATTGCAGGATAGGGCAGGAAAGCACTTGTACCTCTTCCAAACCTAGGACCTTCTGCACACACAGCAGGTGCTGAGCTACTGAGCTAGGGACCCTTCCAAATAATTCATATACAATCCAGCACAATTCTATGCATGTTAACTTAGCTTTAATTACATAATTATTAATTTTTCCTATTACAAACATATAGCTTATTTTATATAGACTAGTTGGCTTTGTCATGCTTATCAAATCGTTCTAAAAGAGCTCTTAATATATTTCCTGGCCTCTTTTGGTGTCTATCCCGAAGATTTTCCAGTGCAGTCTTTGCCTGTTGGAAGAAAAACAAAGGACTACATTATGTTGTTGCAAAATAGATATTCACATTTATTAATATCAGTGGGGAAAAATGCTAAAGGCATCAGAATCTGTGGCATCCAGAATCTCCTTCTTTCCAGCAAAAATGTAAATGTAAGCAACTGAATTTATTTTGAGGGACGATGCTGCAAATGTAAATCCAGTCATTTGTATTCAGAGATGTGTTGCGTGAGAGGCCTTGTGTATCAACACTCAAGAGCGGCTTTTTAGGGATGGAGGGTTGAGCAAGAGGAGCCAGGACCAGCAAACTCTACAGTACAACCGCTCATCTCTCTGTGAAACCAGCCCATTGTATTCATGTTTACCCTGGTTTTCTCATTTAGGAAGGCCCCAAAATTGTTGAGCTTAGAAAGACCTAACCAACAGCAATCTTTAAGAATGAGTTATTGTCACATTATAATGTAATAGCAGAGTTTATCATAGAGATGGCACCTGTGTTTAAAACTGTCTTCTGTGAAACAGCATCCCATTTAGGAGATTGATAATGCACAAGCAATAACTAACGAAAAATGTGTTGGAGATTCAGGGCTGGTAGCTCATTGGATTGGAATCATGGCTGTTGAAGAGAGCTGTATTCAACAGTGCAGTTCGGCTCATGCAACACACATCCATGTGTACAATGAATTGTCTTCCTCTTCAGCCCTCTCACCACCCTCAAAAATTGGCACTGGGGTGACTTAGAGGGACCCTCTGGGACCCAGTTCTGGGGCCCATAGTGGGGGAGAAAAAGTTCCATTGTGTGAGCAGATCTCTCTTTGTGCTGCACTAGATAAAATGCATAGTTTCTCCCATTCAATTAGTCTGAACAAGTTAAGAAGAGGGAAAACTGAGCGAGGAAAATAATGCACAAAAGTGTATATAATGAACCCTATCTCTGGTCGTATAGAATGAGGAAGTGAATACAGTGGAACCTCGGGCTGCGAACGTGATCCGTGCGGGAGGCACGTTCCCAACCCGTAACATTTGCAACCTGCAGTGCCGTGTCTGTGCACGCACAGGTTGCGATTTGGCATTTCTGCGCATGTGCCAAGCGCAAGCGCCGAAACCCAGAAGTAACCCGTTCCGGTACTTCCAGGTTCGGCGTGGTACACAACCCGAAAACATGTAACCTGAAGCATCTGTAACCCGAGGTACCACTGTATGCAGAATACAATTTAGAACTGAAAGAGAGAGAAACCAACAGAGAAAAAATATTCTGCTTCTTTACTTCCAAGTGTAGGGTTCACATACTTTTTCAGCCAGCTCTGTGGCAGTTATATTTGGATCATATGGGATGGGTTCTCCAACATATGTCCTCAATCTCACTGGGAACCCTCCATAAGAGGGAAGGAATATACATCGAGTTTTCTCATACAGCCATTTTGTCAGCCCTGTGTATGAAATGGAAGAAGATTAGGAAAGAATTTCAAATTAGTTGGCATTCTGAGTATTTAGCAGTTACAATCCATACATTGCAGCGTGGAAGAGTTAAATAATATAAGTGATTGGGGAAAGAGATGCAAGATATTCAGTCAGCTCTTCTCATACTTTGCAATCAAGGTCATAGGTTGTGCAATAGGCTGCAGAATATGGTTTTGTTTCCTGCTCAGTTCCCCTCCATGTTAGGGTTGCTACCACATTTATCTATTGTAGCTTTGTTTTAAATTTAATGGGAAACTAAGCAAGGACATGTTCACTCAGTTCTGAGGCAGGCAGCACAGCTTTTTTCAGATAAGTGTACATGGAATAAACTCTACTAGTAGGTAATACCGTATTTTTCGCTCTATAAGACGCACCAGACCACAAGACACACCTAGTTTTTGGAGGAGGAAAACAAGAAAAATATATTCTGAATCTCAGAAGCCAGAACAGCAAGAGGGATCGCTGCACAGTGAAAGCAGCAATCCCTCTTGCTGTTCTGGCTTCTGTGATAGCTGCGCAGCCTGCATTCGCTCCATAAGACGCACACACATTTCCCCTTACTTTTTAGGAGGGAAAAAGTGAGTCTTATAGAGCAAAAAATACGGTAAATAGATGTTGTTTTTTTAAAAAAAATGCTAAAATGTTTATTGCCTGATATCAGAGCACTTGGTCAACCAAGGAACATAGGATATTTAGCTCACTTGTATTTCCAATGGTCCTGTATACTTCACACATGTTTTGGGTAAATATAGGGATGATGGGCTAAAAGATAAAAGATGGAATAAAAATGAAAAGAAACGCGAAAACTGGATAACTACATCCCCCCAACCGTCCTGCCTTTATTTTTGTTAAAGACTAGGAAGAATGCTTCACATTTGGTATTATAATGACAGGCAACTCATAAATTATTTAATTGGCTTCAATTCAAATATCTCAGATGAAGAAACTTCACAAGCTAGCCCCCAGATTTTCAGGAATTGAAGAGAAAAAAGAAAGAAAAGCTGTTTTTCTTTCCAAATGCCATTGATTTGTGACTCTCCAGATAATCATTTGACACCAAAACAGGATGTTTGCCATTCTTGGCTATTTAGGATGCTAGATCAAGGATTTTAACACATTACGTCATACGTCATTTCCAGGATAATCTTGAGGTCAATGCAAATTGCCCAAAGGTCACTCACCACTTTCGCCTCCAAAGCTATCCGAGCAAAACCTGTGCGGTTACCCCACATTAAGCTGTAATCATTACTAAAGTTTCCTTCTCTAGCTCCACCAGGTATAATGCCCAATAAATAGCCTTTCTTCAGAATTTCCACACATTCAGCATTCGTGTAATTTCTCAAGAAGGTAACATCACATAGCATCTTCATCCCTAAAAAAATAAATCCCAAACAGAAAAATGCACTTTATATAACTCTTATTTAGGAAATAGTGTGAATAAGTGTCATTATTCAAATGATATTGCACTATTATGGATCACAAGTACACCTCTCTGCAAATCTTCTTCATGATTTCATGAAAGGTGACCTTTATGCTAGTTCCTCTTTTGCTCACATGTTCTTGGAGTAATCTTTTTATGGTAAGCAATAGAGTGAGACTGAGTGCAATTTCACCTATTGGTGGTATTTTATTTTCTGTTGCTTTTTACCTGCTTGCCTGATGCACTGTTTTATATTTAATCACTTTGTTTTATGTCATATTTTATGCATTTTTATCTAATAAGGCATGATTTGAATTTAAATCATTTACCTGGCGTCCAATACAACATGTGATCAATTACTGAATGGCAGTGTAACCCTGTCTTTTTATAAAGTTTAGTCAGAAATAATAAATAGTTGATAGGAAAAGGTGGATGGTAGAGAATAATAATCCCTGGACCTTTAGGGAGACGTTCCATGTCCATAACTTCATAACCTGAAAATAATACAAAGTTTAACAAATAAATATTGCTTTGATGAAACTAAATACGATATCACCATCTTTTAGTGGAGGAAAACAATGTGGTTCAGAAAAACTAAAGGTCAGGTAAAAAGCTCTGCTATATGCTCAAGCATTGTGGGTGCTAGGTTGTCATCCACAGGAAACAGAGCTTACTCTGTGGTGGTCGCAGAATTAAAGAAGGGGGACACCTAATCTCCTGAAATGTTCTTTCCTTGCTGATGTTTGGGCATAGGTGGAAACATTTTTTGCCCAGCCTTTGAGACAGCTACAGTGGTACCTCAGGTTAAGAACTTAATTCGTTCTGGAGGTCTGTTCTTAACCTGAGGTACTACTTTAGCTAATGGGGCCTCCTGCTGCCGCCGCCACGTGATTTCTGTTCTCATCCTGAAGAAAAGTTCTTAACCCGAGGTACTATTCTGCTGCTTCTTCCTCCTCCTCCATCACTGCTGCTTCCCGTGGCTGCAGGGGAATCCTCCTGGAGGTGCTTTGGCATGACTCTTACAATGGCCAAAGTGCCTCAGCTCTGGCATAACTGCAGCCGAGGGAAGCAGCAGAGATTTTGGAGGAGAAAGCGGCAAAGGTGCAGGGGGAGTGAGTGGGGGATGGGCAAGTGGCAGCAAAATGGTGGCAGGGGGGAAAGAGGTGGCAGTACAACGTACCAATGATGCGTACTGACAGAAAAAAAGGCACTGGGTGTAAGCAACATTCTCCCAAGTTTCTTTTGGAGACGAGACATGCTTTAAATGTGATTAAATGTATGGTGTTTATGCAGTCACCAATTGACCCTTTCTTCTGTGATATGTCTTAATTTCATACCTCTTAAAAAGTTTTGTATTTCTTTATGATTGCTTATTACATAAATAAATATTGATGGCTTTGTTTTGATCCTTTTGAAGCCAAACCAAACTTGTAGCTGTTGTGACCCCAAGGCGGGTTCAGAGCTACACTCCTGATGCACTGTGGCAACTATTGTTCCAGTGCTTGAAGCCTGAAATTCTGGTGCTCAGTACTATGAAAGTATAGTGGCTCATAAGATGGAATAATTGGTATGAAAGAAACCTTTACTCACCATGCCATATCTTTCCATATGTATCTACAACTTTAGCCATAACTTGCCTTGGCTTGTCCCAAAATTTGCTATAAAAATCATTTTCTTGGTGGTTATTCATCTTCTTGTAAATATATAACAATAGTGAGGCACAAGAGGAAAAAACCCAGAAAACCAATATTGCTGAATAAAACAACATCGGAAGCACAAAAAACCACAGAGGGTGAACCACCGAGGTCAGGTAGTCTTCTAAATAAGGAAAACTAATCCAGTTTTCCAGCATTTGAGTAAAGCAGCTCATTGTTTCCTGATCTGAAGCATCAAGTGTATGCCAATGAAAGAAAGAAATCAAGTGGAATTTTCCACAGTCGTAATGGTTTCCCCCACCACCACCATTTACCTGGAAAACAGAAAATGCAGTACATTAGTTTGAATTGCCACCCCAGAGACATTCATGAAATCTCATGCTATTTACTATTTTTCTAGTTTTCCCATTATAACTTGCCAAGTAGACATATTGTTTTTTCAACATTCATTGCTGGGATGTACAATACAGTGGCACCTCTACTTACGTGCCCCTCTTGTTACGTATCCTTCGGGATATGCACCCAGCAAACCCAGAAGTATATTTCCAGGTCTCGCCACACACGCATGCGCAGAAGTGCTCTGTCGCACCGCACGCATGCATAGAGCACGCATCTCCGGTTGCAGAAACCTTGGGATCTAACTGGAGCTCCGGAATGGATCCCATCCGCAACCGGAGGTACCACTGTATTAGTAATGTATGATTCATCACGTTTCAGTCAGAATGTAGTTCTGGCACCTCTCAGGTGGGCGCCATTGTGAGCTGATGCACCTTCTACCTGCTTCTTGTCTTTATGTACTTCTGAGAAGCCCCAAACGAACAATTCGAGTCAAAACAGAAGCTGGCCAGCGTGTGCAAGTCTACCCCTTTTTCAAATCTATGACTCCACTCCTAGCCATTCCTAGCCACAATTTGTCAAGCTACATGGAGGGGCCAATTCGTATATCCTTTTCACCTATACTGGTGGTAGGCTTTAAGCATTCCAGTGAAGCCTCTACCATTGCACTCATGTGCGTTTATGCAAGGCCCTTCTGAGCTGCTCTCGTCATCCGCCTGAATCTAAGAAAACGAAGGGAGGTGGGGGCGCACCAGAACTGTTATGTACTAAAGTTCTCACCCTGGGCCAGCGGTGGGATACTGTAGATAGTTATGCAAATGAAGGATCGAAAGTGACGTTCAGTGATTGGATAGTTTGTATGCAAATGAAGGATCGAAAGTGACGTTCAGTGATTGGATAGTTTTAGAAAGTTGCAACAGTTACATTGTTCTGGAGCTCTATATAAGCAAGCTGACTGAGCTCCTCAGTTCAGTTCTGTTCTGGCCTTTGAATAAACAAGAGCTGTTTGAAGAATCACTGTGTCGTCTGATATATTCTCCCACAACTTAACAAGAACCATGGAGAACTGGCATCTGTTCAGGGTTGCCCTGAGTCGCCCAGTGACTTACTGTAGCAACTTCATGGTTGGGTTCTTTTTTGGGAAAGAGCACTAGTCACAAAGCAAGCTGGTTTCATTCAACTGCTGTTCCATTTTTCCCTGGTACATTGCTCTCTGTCCTGCTATTTTCTATGGAGGCTTTATACATATGTATTGTCCTCTTTTTGTCATCATTATAAGATTTAAAACCAATTGCCTTCTATGTGTGATCACAGATGTCTGGAGGTAGCCCTGTTAGATTTTGGCAGCAAAAATAAAAAAATGAGTGTTGTGACAACTTAGAGATAAAGTTAATGGCTGCAAAACAAACCCCGTCTACTAGGAAGTGAGCACCACTGAATTTATGAGGATTCCCATCTCTGTGTTGGAAACCCTGCACATTAGTAAAGCAGCTCCCTTCACACTAGAGTCTTGCTGTTCAAATGGAATGCCCAATTAAGGTTCAAATATATTGATGACCAGATTACCCTATGTCTAAATAGCTAGTTGAGTAAAAATATGTGGCATTATATTACTGCAGAGTTGTATATTTCTTCTGCAGATCTGTGTACAAACAGCTTCCCCTATGTAGCGCCCCCCCCCCATTTGTGGACCTTAAGGAAAGAAGCTTGCAGGGGGTTATACCAGATGATTCTCAGGGTCCCTTCCAACTCTGATTCTAAGAGACATGGGTGGTGCTGTGGTCTAAATCACTGAGCCTCTTGGGTTTGCTGATCGGAAGGTCAGCAGTTTGAATCCGCGCAATGGGGTGAGCTCCTGTTGCTCTGTCCCAGCTTCTGCTAACCTACAGTAGCAGTTCAAAAGCATACCAGTGCAAGTAGATAAATAGTTACCACTGTGGCAGGAAGGTAAACAGCGTTTCCATGTTCTCTGACTTCCTTCACAGTATTCCATCGCACCAGAAACAGTTTAGTCATGCTTGGCCATATGATCCAGAAAGCTGTCTATGAACAAACACCGGCTCCCTCGGCCTGAAGCAAGATGAGTGCCGCACCCCATAACCACATTTGACTGGACTTAACCATCCAGGGGCCATTTACCTTCTATGATTCTACTGGTATTTCTATGTATATTATGCTATGGCCGCATGGCTAATGCAATAAAATCATTATATATTATATACTGGTATTAGAAGAATGATAAATTCCAGTTGTGACTAAAACAAAGTGTTTTATATTGCATATATTTAAGTCTGGGTTTGCTCTGCATCCAGTGCTTTCCTATTGCTGGTTTAGAGATCTGTTTACTCATGACATTAGCCACCATCTATATGTGGCTAAAGGTAAAGGTACCCCTGCCCGTACGGGCCAGTCTTGACAGACTCTAGGGTTGTGCGCCCATCTCACTCAAGAGGCCGAGGGCCAGCGCTGTCCGAAGACACTTCCGGGTCACGTGGCCAGCGTGACAAGCTGCATCTAGCGAGCCAGCGCAGCACACGGAACGCCGTTTACCTTCCCGCTGGTAAGCGGTCCCTATTTATCTACTTGCACCCGAAGGTGCTTTCGAACTGCTAGGTTGGAAGGCGCTGGGACCGAACAACGGGAGCGCACCCCGCTGCAGGGATTCGAACCGCCGACCTTTCGATCGGCAAGTCCTAGGCGCTGAGGCTTTAACCCACAGCGCCACCTGCGTCAATATATGTGGCTAATGTCATGTTATTTCTTATGAAATACTGTACATTGGTTAGTTTTCCCCTAAACCAATTTCAGATAAACCCTGATTGAAAAAAGAACACCCTAGCTGTGTTTTAAGTTGACAGTTTGTAAACAGGCTATAGTTTTCATACAACTGGTTTTTACACAAACACACAAACATTCTGCTGACCCCTGTTCACGGACAGACAAATAACACAACTGCTAGCACATTTGCAATGCTTAGCAGGGTCTGGTATGGTTTCCAGTTTGACGGGGGTCCGTGTACTGAGATTCCTTGGGGTTCCTTCCAACGCTACAAGTCTATGAAACACAAACTTTTTACTTACATTCCTGATAAGCCTAAATTCCCTTTACATCCATTACCTCTCCATGGGACCAGCAGAAGTTCTCTCGTGGTATTTTTCATAGGCTGTTTCACTCCTAATGTGATGCATCCCTTTGTGATGTTTAAAGAGACTCTGATGGGTGTGACACCCTATGAAGAAAACAAGCTTTTTGGAAACGATACAACTAGGTTTTATTCCCATATGCAGTTAAACATGCTGCACGAGGTAATAGCAAGCATTGCATATTAGCATGGTGAATCACATAAAGCCTGTTCTTGGCAAAGGATAAAAGGTAGGAATTCTGACAACTATGTTGTCTCCCTTTGCTTATAGCTCCCTTCTGCCTTGAACAGAATGAACAAGTCAAGGAACAAGCTACTTACACCATCCACCGTCAAGAAAAATACAACATTGATACAAAAGTCGGGTGCCTGCCCCTCTCTCTGCTGAGGACTGGCAAGAGCCCATGGATTCCCAGGCACGCACACAGGGTCTGTGTCCCTTTGGAGAATAGACAGTGGAGATTCCCGTACTTTAATAAATTTGGTTTATTCACCTATTTACAAATTCAGCCTGCATGGAGGAAGTCTAGATCTTACAGCATGGCTCACAGCAGTCCAGGGAACCTAATATGTGGGGTTAGAAACTGAGAGAAACCAAAAATTGACAGATTCAGCCATCCCTACTCTGTTTGCAGCATATACCTTTTCCAGTTGACCCAGCCTCAAGGTAAACAGGCAATGCTTCTTGCTTTGCACACTGAAAATGAGCTATCCCAGAATCCTCAAATGAAACGTGTAGGGAAAAGAGACGTTTTAGCAATGTTATCCTTGTATCATCGTCTTCCAATCTCCCTTGCTGGGCATTCAACCATAGTGTATTTCAGTCAGGATATTTGGAAAGGGAGGGGAAGATAAGGTGAATATGACCCAACCAATTATTTCTTCATCCGCCTCAATTTGTGTAATTTAAAAAACAAACAATTTTTGTTGGTTTTTAAACAAATACGAATACATTAACAATTACCATTAAACCCTTATCCAGCAGTACATCTAATAATGTTTGTTCTTTCCATTGACTTTAGACATAAGCTCACACATTCAGTGTTCAAACCTCTCCTCTGAGAAGATTGAGCAGCTGGTATAATCAGGCCTTGATTTTTGTCATTAACAGAGTTAAAGAAAGAGCTCCACATTTCTTGGAAAGTGTCTCTATTTGTTATGCCTTTAATTGCCCTCCTGTCTGGTGAGATGTTAAGACATCACTGTATCTCAGATATTATTTTCCCATATGTTCAGGGGAATTTCTTCCATTGCTTGTCATGGCTAAAAATTGGCTGCTGTTTCTTTAATGCTAAAAGAACTAAGTCAGCATGAGTCAGCGGTCTACAATGACTCATGCAACCTTTCACTAAATTGTACCTGTATATATAGAGTGGTCAATGTTAGGGTTGGGTGTGGGTTGGTTGGAAGCTGGTTGCATTTGGTGTGTGTAAAAGCTGTCAGTCGTGGTTGGAGAAGAAGACTTTTTAAGAATAAAAGCAGCAATACTCTGAAAGAATACTCTTTCTCAAAGACTCTTTTGTGCCAACTAAGGTTTGAGGACTAGGCAAAGGAGTAAAAAGGAGGTCAGAACCTTTTCTTTTTCAAACACTGACAGGTTATGGGCCCAGTGTTTCTGAGCATGTGCAGAGTGCAAAACAACTGACAGCATCTGAGCAGGGAGCTGGTGAGTCCTGGTGGTGTATGGAGCCAGTGGCTGTGTGTTGAAGGAGTTGGTGGCAAGCTGTAACTGTCTGCAGCGACACTGGAGGGGCTAGGATCTGAGGAAGAGGAAAGCACTCAGTGTCGGCTACTGGAACAGTTTGAACTGCTAGAGGAC